ACTGTGTTGTTGTTTTTTTTTTTAACATGCAGAGGGTCTGTAAGACCAAGGTCCAATTAAGACCAATCAATCACATAGTTAATGTGTAGAGCTGTAAATGCTCATGTGTCCTGAGACTTGGAGCTGACGTCACCGTTTCTAAACCCATCACTTATCTAGAACAATGAGTCTGGTTAGAACACGGTGGGTGGCTGTGCTTATGGCATCAAGACACTGTTACATTCATAGATAAGAGCTGGCATCAGTTTTCTAAAAGTCCGATGAAACTTTGGAAACAGACACAATAGTTGGCCCATTTCAACTCTGTTTGCTGACCAACAGATGGTGTTTACTCTTCTCTGAGATACTTAGCCCCCACCCCCACCCAACAGCCATCTTCGTCTTCAGAAAATATCTACAGGAGATGAAAAGACCATGGATAGAGAGAGAAAATAAACATGTAGCTGGGACTTAGGTGATGGGAATAGTTACATGAATATATCTTGCCTGTTGGAAGGAGATATTTCAGGTAAGATCTAACATTGCCAAAGTAAATCTTAAAGAGAGGCAAAGTGGTAGAAAATGAGGGGATTTTTGATCTGCAAAAATACAGGTTAGAAAAGGCTTTCAGAGGGAGGGAGAAATATATAACAAACCTAACACTATGACATGTTTTGTGTTTGGGTCCAGATTTCCTGAGCAAGCTGTTCTAGAACTGACTTAGGGGCTCTAGCCACTCTTCTACTCCCCAACACTCTAAGTAGAACCGACTAGCCATGGCTACATTTGTGTTTTAATACAGAACTTCAGCAGAGGACTCTAAGACCTAATCCTCCACTCCCACATCTATGCCTCATAAATAACTCTTATATAGGACACGTAGGACCATGCATCACACAGTTCTCTCTGGACCACTACAAAGAAGAAAAATGGGGAAATGGCTCAAAATAAGACATGGAGTTGTTAGTGTCTTTTTCTCCTTCCTCCCTAATTGCTTTTTTTTTTTTTTTTTTTTTTTTTTTTTTTGAGTTTTGGTGCCTGTTCTGGATTCACTCTGTAGACCAAGCTGGCCTCGAACTCACAGAGATCCTCCCGTCTCTGCCTCCTGAGTGCTGGGATTAAAGGTGTGTTTCACCACCACCTGACCCTAATTGCTTTCTTTAGGAAAGAACAAACCTTTGTCTCCCAGATGATCCTACAGACTCCTGAAGCATCTCCAGTCCTCACGTTTACAAAGCCCAGCACTGAGTACTGTAGTGGGAAGATCTCCAAGGATACTGGTGCCAATTGGAAAATTCCTCTGGGCAAATGGAGTTGACTCCAGTGCCATCCACGCAGGAATCCTTTTGCCTTCCAGGAAATTATCACTATCACATGATTAGTAGATGTCTCCTTAACCTTCATAATTCACAGATCGATAAAGGTTATGAGTTAGTTCCTCTCTGAGAGTTCTACCTATGAGGAACTCAGCGGTGTCTCACAGCATTGTGAGAACTTGGGAACTTTCAGGAGTTTTTTCAGAGAATGTTTTATGTGAGTCTCTTCAGCCAGCAAGCATGCTTTGCCTCGGCACTGGTGACATTTTAGAGTTTGCTGTGGACCCTGTCATACATTTTGCCTATCTTACTGACAAACAAGTTATATCAGACCTGAGTCCAGAACAAGTGGACCTATCCAGATAAATGAAGAATCTCTCTGGTGTTTCCCTTTGCAGAAATAACTCTGGACCAAACTGATGTTTCAGACCCTCCACCCTGAGATGTCCTGCGCTCTGGTCTTATGAGAACAGTCACACTTCACTCTCTGTGTCCTGGAATCACACCTCTTCAGTAGCCTCACTGTGCTCACTTGTTTTAGATCTGACGACAAACATTATAAATAGCCCTAGCTCCACCATTTTTCCTTGGCTTACCCTCAGGGAGAATGGAAAGGACCCCTGGATTGGTCCAAAAGGATCCACTTTGATTCTAGAGAAAGAGGCTGAGGCTCTGAGTGCTGGGAGTGTTGTGAATTGTGTCCTTTGGGACAGACAGGGAAACTGCAGTTAAGACTTGGAGAGAGATTTGGAGGCTTCCCTCCACCCTGCAAAGTGTTGGATGGGGTTGAGGTGGAGTCTGTAACTTCACCTCTGCTGTGCCCCCTGGACTGAGAGGGTTGAGCTACTTCTGGCCATGTGTCTTCCAGAGGAAAGGCCTGTTGGCAAACTCTCCTCCTCCAGCCTCCCACCTCTTGCTGTGTCTGCTTTCTGCATCCAATAGCAAACAGTTGCCAAGCCATCAGATCCAATTATCTCCCACACAGAGCAATCCTCTCCCCACCTCCACTCGGGTCTAGTGCTAAAGGTGCTCAGTCTGTCGCCTCGCCAATCTACTTATTCACACCCTATTCTCTAACATCCCTCCCTACTCTAATCTCCCTGGTCCACACAATGACTCCAGTTTCTCCAAAGCATTTGCTTGCATCTTTCATGTACTTATCTTCCCACCCCCACAGGAGAATGGAAACACCACATGTGCTTATTACCTCCATGGGTCTAGGGAGTGGAAGGCATCTTTTGTGAATGCAGGTGTAGGGTTTAAAACCCATCCCCACTGTTATTATATATTTTAGCCCTCATCAAAACAACTACAGTAAAAAATATACACAAGTGACAAAGATAATTACCCACAGAAAACCAAAACCACAAAGCCGTGGAGTAATTGGAGGCATCTATAAAGTTACCATTTATAGATGTAACAATAATGTTACAATCTCCTAGGCCAGGGCTGACAAGAAGCTTATCCTTTCTGGGCTATGAAAACTCCCAATCTGGAGCCTTCCAATTTTACTTTCTGGACGTGCAATGTCTTGAAAGGAATAGTGTACCTCCAGGATCATGCCCACCCAGAACCTCCAAGGGAGGCTTTGTTTGCATAAAGGTCTCCTCATCTGCAATTAGTAAAGGGCTAAAAATGGAAATGTTCAGGACTTAAGGTGAGTCTCAAATCCAATGACTCATGTGTAGAAAGAGAGGAGAGGGGCATGCACACACGGAAACATGGGGGAGAATGCCACGTGAAGGCCAAGACAGAGCTGAGAGGGGAGCTGGCACAAGACCAGGAGTACTGAGAGCAAAGGGAAGGAGGAGGAGCAAGAAAGGATTCTTCCCTGAAACTGCCGGAGAGCACTGACCTGCTGGCAATATGATGCTTTTGGACTTGGAGCCTTCAGAACTGCAAGAGAATTGATTTCTACTGCCCCAAACCACTCGGTGGCACTTTGTTGTATGTCTTGTACATGTTGTGTTGGCAGCCCTGGAAAACTGATATTCTGTGGAACTTAGGCAGCCTCGGAGTGATTCTTTCTAGAGGTACTTTCCTAGAGCTTGTGAGCAGCTGCTCCAGGGTCACCATGACACTGTGAGTGAGCACACCATCATGGTG